TGACCAGGTAGCCAGAAATCAAAGATAATGGGAGGGGGTTTACTTCAGCAAGGTATTTATCTAAGCTAGGTAAAGGTAAAGTGTAAAGGGACCCCTGACCATTAGGTCCAGTCGCGGACGACTCTGGGGTTGCAGCACTCATCTCGCTTCATTGGCCGAGGGAGCCGGCGTACAGCTTCTGGGTCATGTGGCCAGCATGACTAAGCCGCTTCTGGCGAACCAGAGCAGCGCACGGAAACGCTGTTTACCTTGCCACCAGAGCAGTACCTATTTATCTACTTGCACTTGACGTGCTTTCAAACTGCTAGGTTGGCAGGAGCAGGGACCGAGCAACGGGAGCTCACCCCGTCATGGGGATTCGAACCGCCGACCTTCTGATTGGCAAGCCCTAGGCTCTGTGGTTTAACCCACAGCGCCACCCGCGTCCCTATTTATCTAAGCTAGAAATATCCAAATTTAGAAGATCTGTTACCCTTGCCAGATTTGATTGGTTGATTGAATGTCCTACCATCTGCATTACTGCAGGGCAGAACTGAAGGTAAACCATATTCAGAGTAAATATGCCCATGCGGTTTGAGGGAAGTTGAAAGTGTTACACATGTCCTATTAAATTGTCATTACTATAGGGACATATGCTCACACGGTTAGGGCTTTGTTCATGGAAGACAATCTTACTCAGCTACGAGTGACTGCAGGAAAAGAAGAAGAAGAAGAAGAAGAAGAAGAAGAAGAAGAAGAAGAAGAAGAAGAAGAAGAAGAAGAAGAAAGATTTATCACTCCAATCATGCAATGAACCCCAAACAGATCTGATGACCACTACTTAAAATATCTAATTGAGGACAGGGAACCTGAGATTACTTTTAAAGTGGCCAAATTTTGTGCCGCTGCTATAAAACCAAGGAGACAAGCTCTGAATGAATCTAATTGCCGTTGTCTTAACATGCATATTTTAAATTAGCGATTAAGCTCTTAACCTACATATTTTAAATGTTTTATATCTATATTATTTACCATGCTCGAGCTTATAGAGTTTAATTCTAACCTTTGTATATTTACATGTTCTCTATCGCTGTATATGTCCGTATTTCTGGTCTGTGACTGTAATAAATTGATTCAGTCAGTCAGTCAGTCCACACAGGAGGCAGAGATGCCCATCAACTTGGATGGGTTTAAAAGAGCACTAGACAAAGTCATGGAGGGTGATGCTACCAATGGCTACTAGCCATGATGGTTATGCTCTCCCTTCACTGTCGAAGGCAAAATCCCTCTGAATGCAAGTTGTGGAGAATCAGAAGTGTGGAGAGTTTCTGTTACTCTCAGGTCCTGCTTCCTGGCTTCCCATGGGCATTGGGTTGAGAACAAGATGCTGGACCAAATGGGCCTTTGGTCTGATCCAGCAGGCTCTTCTTACTTATAGTTCTTCTTGCATTTTATGGGCATCCTGAATTATTATTACTTGAGCAGCAAACACATTGTGTCAGAAAAGGGGTGAAATGTTAGTCCCACGTGCATTTTCTGCAATGTTTTAGAAAACAGGCAGAAAAAGCCTTCTCCAAAGCCATTGCAATCATAATTGAGAAATAAAAACGAACCCATCCAATCAACCCCAAAATAAGTTGTGTATCAGAATTATATGTGGAAGATCCCCAGGAATTCTCCATTAGAGTGACTCATGGGCTTAAAAAAATCTCATTAAAACTTCCGCTGTAAAAATTACTGTCAGCCGAAAGGGCAGACACAATAACTCTTGATTAAATGAAATTGCACTGGGGTGTGGAATAAATTATGGGCCAGCAGGAAGGCTTACGGTTGCTGTGATTTGTCTGTTTTGTGGTAAGTGGCTACAAGCTCCTTTGCTGCTGATGACCTGTCACCTTTTGGTAGTACTGTGGGTATACCAATGAGTATGTTGAGGCTCGTAACATTATCCAAGCATTGTTCTTTCTGCATTTTAGAGTTCATTGGCTGCGAACGTAATGCCCACCAGTGCCTCTTTTGCCAACTGCAAAAGGTCTCAATAAAGATCCCCTCAAAAGTCCATAATGTAACAAGACACAGATTTTCTCTTCCTGCTCAGCTCCTCTTTGTACTAAACCAGCCTCTCCCACACTGAACGTGCCATTTGGATGCAAGGATTGGGTCCCCCTCTCCTTTGCCTTCTGAACAGGGGAGAGGTGCAAAGAGCAAGCATTGCAGTGGCTGGGGTAGGTGCCTTTCCTCACTGATATTTTTTTGTGGGGCGGGGGTCAAGGCCAGTAGAGGAGAAGTGGAGCTGGTATAAGAGTCGATTTCTGGTGAGATCTCGCAAGACTTTGGCAAGCTGTCATGAGATTTCAGCAAGCTATTGTGAGATTTGGGTAAGCTCTTGTAAAATATCGCAGGAAATCAATATTTGAAGGGGCTGGCACCCCCAAAGTTGATGGGCATTGCCACTCAAATGGTGTCCATGCACTGCATCATGTGATCGATTATGCAGGGTGAGGCTTACCCACCCCCACTCCCTGCTTATTTAACTTATATGCAGAATTCAAGCCGCTAAATTACTCTGAGAATTGCAGGGATCTCCTAACCACTCTCAGCATCCTTAACAAACTACCCTTCCTGAGTTGCTTTGGGGGAAGCCATGATGAGAGTGCCTGATCACCTCATCTGTCTCCTGAGAAATCTCTATGTGGGACAAGAAGCTACAGTTAGAACTGGATATGGAACAACTGGTTAGTTCAAAATTAGGAAAGGAGTATGGCAAGGCTGTATATTGTCTCCCTGCTTATTTAACTTATATGCAGAATTCATCCTGCAAAAGGCTGGGCTGGATGAATCCCAAGCTGGAATTAAGATTGCCGGAAGAAATATCAACAACCTCAGATATGCAGATGACACAACCTTGATGGCAGAAAGTGAGGAGGAATCAAAGAACCTTTTAATGAGGGTGAAAGAGGAGAGCGCAAAATATGGTCTGAAGCTCAACATCAAAAAAACGAAGATCATGGCCACTGCGCCCATCACCGCCTGGCAAATAGAAGGGGAAGAAATGGAGGCAGTGAGAGATTTTACTTTCTTGGGCTCCATGATCACTGCAGATGGTGACAGCAGTCACGAAATTAAAAGACGCCTGCTTCTTGGGAGAAAAGCAATGATAAACCTAGGCAGCATCTTAAAAAGCAGAGACGTCACCTTGCCAACAAAGGTCCGTATAGTTAAAGCTATGGTTTTCCCATATATGGAAGTAAGAGCTTGACCACAAAGAAGGCTGATTGCCGAAGAATTGATGCTTTTGAATTATGGTGCTGGAGGAGACTCTTGAGAGTCCCATGGACTGCAAGAAATCAAACCTCTCCATTCTGAAGAAAATCAGCCCTAAGTGCTCACTGGAAGGACAGATCGTGAAGCTAAGGCTCCAATACTTTGGCCACCTCATGAGAAGAGAAGACTCCCTGGAAAAGACCCTGATGTTGGGAAAGATGGAGGGCACAAGGAGAAGGGGACGGCAGAGGACGAGATGGTTGGACAGTGTTCTCAAAGCTACCAGCATGAGTTAGACCAAGCTGCGGGAGGCAGTGGAAGACAGGAGTGCCTGGTGTGCTCTGGTCCATGGGGTCACGAAGAGTCGGACACGACTAAACAACAGCAACAACAACAACAACATCATCATGAGGGTTTAAAGTGGTCTCATAGTGCTTGGAATGTAAATGTGGCTCATGTGTAAATATTTGCACCTCTATCACTAATGCCATTCCCTCCATTCAGTTAGACCAGGATCTCCAGAGTCTCATGACCTGTTGACTTAAACCATTTTCAGACTTGTCACTTACAAAAAAACAAAAACAAAATCCTTGGCATGGCTGGGCTGCTGATGGGTGCTCTGCTCCCGAAGTCGCAGCAAAGCCTCTCAGCATTAGATTGCTGTCATGTTGCTTGCTGCTTCCCTGCGCCCTTGGGCCATAATTCACCCTCCTTTTGATTGCTCTGCCATTCTAAGACTTTAGATAATGGGCTATTATTCTCAGAATATTGCTATTATAGTTTATTAATAGGCTCAGGGAAAATTTATAGCTGCAAACTCGGGGAGATTAGGAATTGGAGTGTTGTCATTCTCTCGACAGGCAATTACGTTTGGCAAAGCCGTTGATAGGAGGGAAGGACCTGGGGTTCCGCCTCCCTCAGTTTGCAGTGGCATTCATGACCTCTGTAATCCATGTAGATTAAGCAGTAGGTGGTCTCTAAACACACACACACGCACACACACACACACACACACACACAGTGGGAAGGCCAATTCTGCAGCTCCACAAAGGAGGAAACTCATCACCGAATTTTTTTTGAAAAAGGACACCGATTTGCATATGCTACATTCTATATATGGATAGGAAAATAAGAGGAGCCTGCTGGATCAGGCCAGGGGCCCATCTAGTCCAGCATTCATCAGGAGTTCAGTCTACACTTGAGCAGGACTCTGGCAGAGACACTGGCATGTTCTCTCCCTCCTGATCTTTGGTTCGGGAGCTTCAAAAGCTTTCTTCAGCCCGAACATCTCAGCGACCGATGCCAACTGACACCGGCACACTTAGGGATCCTCAGAGTTTGCGCAACTTGCCTGACAGACCTCAGCAACTCAGCATTTTGGCTAATCTACTTTATTTACATATAAACACACATGGAGCATTGCAACATGGCTCCCTCTCTCTCTAGCATCAGACAGCAAAGAGAAAAGGAACAAAGGACAATAGTCCCACTTCATGGAACACAGTAACACAAACATTCTGTCTCCGTCACTTCCCACTCTGTGGAGTCAAAACATATACCGTCATGTGATAGACAAAAATCCCATAACTGCAATCATGGAGGAGGAATTCTAACAGTTCTCACAATGACTTGTGGGAAACCTGCAGGCAGGACCTGAGCACAAGAGCCCTATCTCCTCCTGGGGCTCCCAGCAACTGGTATTCAGAAGCATTACTGCCTTGGACCATGCAGGCAGAGCAGAGCCATTGTGGATAGTAGCCATCTGCAGTCTTCCCTCCATTAATTTGTCTGATCCTCTTTTAAACCCATCCAAGTTGTTAGTCATCACCACCTCCTGTGGAAGCCAGTTCCATTGTTTTGTGATTATGCATTTTGTGAAGAAGTACTTTCTTTCATCTTATTCCTCCAACGTTCAGCTTTGTTAGATGTCCACAAGTTAGAGAGATATGAGAGAGGGAGAAAACCTTTTTGCGATTTAGCTTCTCCAAGCTATGCATGATTTTATTAACTTCTACCATGCTGCTTCTTCCTCACTTTTCCCATCAACTGAGAAGTCTGAAATGCTGCAACCTTTCTTCATGGGGTGGGAGGTGAGGTGGGGTCGCTCCATCCTCTTGATCATTTTGGTCACTCTTTTCTTAACCGTGTCCAACTTCCAGCTTTAGAAGTAATCTAACTTAGAAATCCAAGACAGCTCCGATTATGATGGGGAAGACTGCTCAGGTGTCTGGTACAGTTGGCTGTCCAGGGGTTGACAAGTAGCCTCAAGGCCCTCACTGTTCTTGCTTCTTATGGTTCTTCATCTTTATGGACCTGCCTGTAAAAGGTAAAGGGACCCCTGACCATTAGGTCCAGTCATGGCCGACTCTGGGGTTGCGGCGCTCATCTCGCAATATTGGCCGAGGGAACTGATGTTTGTCTTTCTGGGTCATGTGACCAGCATGACTAAGCTTCTTCTGGCGAACCAGAGCAGTGCACGGAAATGCCATTTACCTTCCCACAAGAGCGGTACCTATTTATCTACTTGCACTTTGAGGTGCTTTCGAACTGCTAGGTTGGCAGGAGCTGGGACAGAGCAATGGGAGCTCACCCCATAATGGGGATTCGAACCGCTGACCTTCTGATCGGCAAGTCCTAGGCTCTGTGGTTTAATCCACAGTGCCACCCGCGTCCCCGGACCTGCCTGTACTATACATTTAAAGCAGTACAATTTTAAACAGTCTTGACTCCCCCCCCCCCAAGAATCCTAGGAAGTGTAACTTGTTAAGGATGCTGTGGAGACCATATTCCCCTCACAGAGTTACTCAGAGTGGTTTCGCTGTCAATCCCTCACCCCAGGGAACTGTGGAAAATATAGCTCTGTGAGGGGAATAGGGGGTCTCCGCAACAACTTCTCATTGATCTTAGATCAGCGTTCCCCAACTTGGTTCATTAAAAATGTTTTTGGGACTGCAGCTGATGTAGTCCAAACATCTGAAAGGCAGCGGGTTGGGGAAGCCTGCCTTTGACTGGAAAACCCAAAGACCTGACTTTTAGGCCTTCTTCTGGTCAAACACTGAACCATGCCCCCTTTGTCTGGAGAAGTTGCTGGGTAGTTAAAACAGCCAGTGCTTCATGCATAGATCTACCAAAGGCTCCTCAAGCCGCCTTGTACAGTGTAGTCAAGGAGAATCAGTGCTATCACAGCCAGCTGAGCAAACACAGGTGTGTTAGCCCACACCTTTCGCTGCAGGCAGAAGCAGCAAAACTTGTCTTGTTGGGTTCCTTGGGTGGAGTGTGAAGTTGGCAGCAAAGAACTTCCATGTTCCCTTCCTGTAGCGTGTGTGGGTTTCCCCCTTCTCATTCTCCTCCTAAGTTCCTTCCACCGAAACCTCCCTGTTTCAGCGGAGGTCATGGGGGGTTCTTACCATAGGGCAAAGCCAACACAAACATTGTGGGTGGGGCAGAATTGTTCCAGTTCAACGTGCCGTGAATGGGCCAACAAGATGTTGGATAACCTGTTGTCACCATGGTTGGAAGACTCTCTAACATTTGGCTCTGTTGACATTGAATTAGTCACCTAGCCTAGGGGTAACGTGAGGGTGGAAGGAAAGGAGAGAGAGAATATTCTCCCAAGACAACTTTTTCAGTTTGCATGACAGGTGCCAAAGCTTTAGTCATAAATTTCTTCCAATGAGGGAAAAGGTGAAATGCTTCAGCTTTTTTTTGGGGGGGGGGGGTTGGCAATCTCTCCAATGCCTGCTTGAGAAGCATCATTCTAGGCCAGGCACCCCCAAACTCGGCCCTCCAGATGTTTTGGGACTACAACTCCCATCATCCCTGGCTAACAGGACCAGTGGTCAGGGATGATGGGAATTGTAGTCCCAAAACATCAGGAGGGCCGAGTTTGGGGATGCCTGTTCTAGGCAATAGGGCTGTTCACACATTACATTCAACAACTGAACAACTGTATATCCATAAGGCTTTCCTCCTTGTTAGGCTGAACAGAGGTATGCAAGCCGTCCATACACGTGTTCAACGGTTTGTGTGTGTGAGCACGGCAGGGTTCAAATCTCCACTTGGACATAAAGCTCAGAGGGTGACCCCAGGCCAATCTCTGCCTCTCAGCCTATCCTACCTCACAGGGCTGTTGTGCCTATCGAGGAGGGGGAAGAATCATGTACAGCACCTTGAGCTCCTTGAATGAAAGAGGTAAAGGGACCCCTGACCATTAGGTCCAGTCGTGACCGACTCTGGGGTTGTGGCGCTCATCTCGCTTTATTGGCCGAGGGAGCCAGTGTACAGCTTCCCAGTCATGTGGCCAGCATGACTAAGCCGCTTCTGGCAAACCAGACCAGCGCACGGAAACGCCATTTATCTTCCCGCTGGAATGGTACCTATTTATCTACTTCCACTTTGACGTGCTTTCAAACTGCTAGGTTGGCAGGAGCAGGGACCAAGCAATGGGAGCTCACCCCGTCATGGGGATTCGAACCACTGACCTTCTGATCGGCAAGTCCTAGGCTCTGTGGTTTAACCCACAACGCTACCCGCGTCCATTGAACGAAAGAAGTGGGATGTAAATGCAACAAACAAATAATAAACAAGCAAACTATTGTGTATGAAGGGAAACAGACTGCACACTCAAGGAACGTTACCTGTCAATAACCCTCTGAATACACAGCTCAGTTACTGTGTTTACAGGTACACATATTGTACGCAGGTGATTTGTCTGCTTTCTTTTCTTCTCTTTTTTAACAACAACAACAAAAAAGCCCATACTTTTGGAGCAAGCAAAATGCAAATATTTGTGGCTTCCTGAGGCCACCTTAATCTCCCTCCCTTAATCCTGCTCTCCATGTTAAGCACCATTCTGCTCTTTGTGAACTGCCTCCTTCCCACTTGCTCCTCTGTTGACTCGCCTGTGATTCCATCATGCCAGGCAAACAGCTCGAGAGACTTTGGATTGTGTGCTGAATGCTGCAGCAACTGCCTTAATCCACTGAACAAATAAGGAGGCTATGATCAAGGACAGCACTTTGAGCATTGGGCTCAGTTGTTATGAACCCCTAGAAAACTCACACTTTGCCATGTTTACTTGATACTTTTTCACTTCCAGTTTGTCCTGGGCAGATGATGGACCCTTCAGAGAAGCCGCCATTTCTCTGTGGGAAGAGACCTTATGGGGTTATTTGTAGTGCTGCGCTGAAGAAGAAAAAGAAAAGTCCAGCAGTTTCCCCTGCAATGAAATATGCTTCTCTATTGTCATATAATCAGCATTATCTCATCACTGCATTGTGAAAGTGCCTATCTAATCAAAAATCCCCAAATCTAGTTTAGCCTATGCAATATTAAAGTGCGGTTCCAAGATTTGTTTGCAGAACAGGACATGGATACCATTACTTTGTCTAGCTTTTCCAATACTTTCCTCACATTAAAATTGCACATTGGTAAAGTGCTTACCTGAGCTAAATCTACCTTTTCTCTGCAAAGCACTTAAGAGCCCTACATTTTCAGACTAGGAAGTCTGATTTTCTGGAAGATCAAGAAAATCGTCAGTTACTAGAAACCACAGGAGGGGAGAAAGAACTTCTGTTCAGGGCCTGCTAGAGCGTTTTCCACAGGTATCAGGGTGACAACCGGATGCTGGACCAGATGGGACATTGATCCAGTAGGCATTTATTCTTATGTTCATATCTTGGCAGATGGAGGAATTAACATCCAGGGATGCCTTGACTGAAGCTGTTATGACCACATGGAAGCAGATGTTGGACAGATCATCTTCAGCTTCCGACCAGGAAGCTGGAACAAGACAAGACACCCTCCTTTTAGAGAGGCAACATCTTCTGTGAGTTTCTGTGAGGGTTATGTTCTCCACACTGCTTTGAACATTGCCTCCATATCCATGGGCTCACCATTTCCCCCTCACATCAAAAGCAACCGTCCTTCTCTTTCAAGACAGCCCATCTCTTGAGTGCCAACAAGCAGGCCTGTCCGGTTCTGCGTCGGGACTCCCCCAAACCCAATTCATCTTCAATGAATGTTCCAATTGTGCCCTTCCTCGCCTGGGTGTCGCGTTGGGAGGGAAATGCCGAAGAATGCGAGTGATGGGGACTTTTGTGTGTCTGTATGCGCTGTTCCACTTTTTCTCACTCCGGGCTCTTTGTGCGGCTCTCCCCGCCCGCCCATCCTCCCGCTCTGCCTTCCCTTCTCCCTTCCCATTGAAATGTCAGATGCAGCAGTTGTCTATAGCTGAAAGAGCGGCTCCCTGGTGGGAACGGAATGCCCTTCTAACCCAAAGGAATAAATAGAGGCCTCTTCCTCCCTTTGGTGTGTTTCTTGGCCCAAGCAATAAGGAGCCAGTTTCTTTTCACCTTGGCTTTGTGAATGATGGGCTTGAGCTGCAGCTTGAAGGAGACTCTGCTCTTTTCCCACCAGATGAAATGTTGGTACGCACAGGGCTGTGTTTGTTGTTGGGCTTCTCCTTTGAGGCATGTTGCGCACAAAAAGACTACTGATCCACTTTGGGCTGTGTAGTTTATAGAATGGGAAATTCCTCTGTTCCTGGGGAACTTGCCTTGTGCACAGTGTCCTAAAGAGGGGATCAGGATAAAGAAGCAGCCAGAGGTCAGCCTTCCTACCCCCCCAACAAAAATGATCAAGATGTGAATAAAAACTTGGCTTTGGCTGTAAATTCAGGACCAAGAGGCTATAATTGTACATTATTATTATTATTATTATTATTATTATTTAATATAAATTTTATTTTATAACACCATACAAACAAAAAAGACAAACACAACACATTCACACCAAAAAAAACATATACATACATATACATACTCCTGACATAAGACAACAACAAATTAACTACATTAACTACTTAACACACAACACTGACTGACTTCCCTTCATCTCGGTTTCGAATGTGTTATAAAATTTTCTATCTGCAGTTTCTTTTCCTCAAAAAAATTCTTTACATCACAAGTGTTATATCGCACCTACTGTGTTTTTTAGTTTTTTACCTCTGTTTCCATGTATGCCATGAATTTATTCCAATCTTTATTAAACTTTGTGTCTTTTTGATTTCTTATTTTCTGTGTCATTTTTGCCAATTCTAGATAGTCGAGTAGTTTCGATTGCCATTCATTTATGGTTGGGATTCTTGGTGTCTTCCAATTCTGCGCTATTAGAGTTCTGGCGGCCACTGTCGCGTACTGAAAGAGTGTTTGATCTTCCTTTTTGATTTCCTCTCCAATTATCCCCAGCAAAAAGGCTTCAGGTCTCTTTATAAAGGTATATTTAAAGATTTTTTTTAGTTCATTGTAAATAGATTCCCAAAATTTTCTAATAGGCTCGCACAACCACCACATATGATAAAAATCGCCCTCCTTAATCTTGCACTTCCAGCATAATTTATGACCAGTTTTATATATTTTTCCCAGTTTTACGGGCGTTACGTACCACCTGTACATCATTTTGTACATATTTTCCCTGAGTGTTGTGCATGCCGAGAATCTCATACCTTTATTCCATAGTGCCTGCCATTTATCAAACTCTATGTTATACCCAAAGTCCATTGCCCATCTCACCATTACCTCCTTTACTTCTTCATCTTTGGTGTCCCATTCGAGCAACAGGCTATACATTTTCGATAGGAGTTTTGTTTTACTTTCTAATATCTCAATCTGGAATCTAGATTTTTCTCACTTATCCCATTTTTTATCCTCGGTCCAGATAGAGTTGATTTGATGAAATTGGATCCAACCTGTCAATTTGTTCTTTATTTCTTCATATGGCCTAATCCTCCAACCGGTCTCTGTTTTTACTAATAAATCTTCGTAGGTCCATCTTTCTCCTTCGATATTTGTTTTTTTATTGTCAGGATATCGATTGGCGAAAGCCACCAAGGGGTATTCTGTTCCAATAATTTTTATTTCTTTCCCACACCTCCAGTAATGGCCCTCTGAAGATATGGTTAGAAAATCCTTTATGGATCTTTCCCTTATTACGCCATAGGTAAGCGTGCCAACCGAATCTTAAATCAAATCCTTCTAAATCTAGCAGATCTTTATTTTTATAATAATCCAATCCTTGACCCAACAGAGGCATGAGGCTTCATAATATAACTTTAAATTTGGGACTGCGAATCCTCCTCTATCTCTTTGGTCTGTGAGTAATTTGAATCTGATTCTCGGCCTTTTTCCTTGCCAGATGAATTTAGAAAGTATTTTCTGCCAGCCCTTGAATATTGATGTTCCCCTGATTATTGGTATATTCTGAAATAAGAATAGCAGTTTCGGTAATAGACTCATTTTTATTGCCGCCATTCTCCCCGACCAGGATAGCTTTATTCTATTCCAGGTATCTAAGTCCTTCCTTATTTCTTTCCATGCGGTTGTATAATTGTCTTCCATCAAATTAATGTTCTTTGTCGTTAACCAGATTCCAAGGTATTTTACTTTTTGGTTACTTTAATTCCAGTCTGAGATTCAAGGTGATTTTTACCTTCTCTTCTACATTTTTAATCAACATTTTAGTTTTTGTTCTGTTTAGTTTAAAACCGGATAGTTTTCCGAATTCTTCTAACAGATCTAACACCTTACTGACACTCTCTTCTGGATCCTCCAAAGACAACATAAGGTCGTCAGCATAAGCTTTCAATTTGTATTCTTTCACTCCTATTTTTATTCCGCGTATCTCTGAAGTTTTTCTTATCTTATTTGTAATTATCTCTAACATCATAATAAACAGAAGAGGTGACAGAGGGCACCCCTGCCTAGTACCCTTCGAGATTTCAAAGGGTTCTGTTAAGTTATTATTAATAATTAGTTTAGCACTTTGCTGTGAGTAAATTGCTTTTATTCCTTCCAGGAATGTGCCCTCTATCCCTGTCATTTCCAAACATTTTATAAGAAAACGCCAGGATACGTTATCGAATGCCTTTTCGGCATCAATAAACAGTAAAGCTGCAGGGATTTCGTTTTTGCATTCTAAGTACTCAATGATATTTATTGTATGTCTTATGTTGTCTTTTATTTGCCTATTGGGTAAAAAACCAGCCTGGTCGGTATGGATAAGATTAACTAGGCATTTTTTAAGTCGAGTCGCCATTATATCTGCATAGATCTTATAATCATTATTCAATAGTGAAATTGGTCTGTAATTCTTAATATTCAGCCTATCCGAGTCAGGTTTCGGTATCAGCGTAATGTATGCCTCTTTCCATGACGCTGGTGTTCTTCCTTCTCTTAAAATCTCGTTCATTACATTATTATTATTATTATTATTATTATTATTATTATTGCAGGCCAAGTCCATCAATCAGGCCACATTCACACCATCCATTGAAAGCACTATGATACCACTTGACATGACATGTTTTACAGTCATGGCTTCCCCCAAACGATTATGGGTCTGTAGTTTGTTAAGGGTGCTGAGAGTAGTTAAAGGTAAAGGGACCCCTGACCATTAGGTCCATTCGTGGCCAACTCTGGGGTTGCGGTGCTCATCTCGCTTTATTGGCCGAGGGAGCCGGCGTACAGCTTCTGAGTCATGTGGCCAGCATGACTAAGCTGCTTCTGGCAAATCAGAGCAGTGCACGGAAACGCTGTTTATCTTCCCACCGGAGCGGTACCTATTTATCTACTTGCACTTTGACGTGCTTTCGAACTGCTAGGTGGGCAGGAGCAGGGACCGAGCAACGGGAGCTCACCCCATCGCGGGGATTTGAACAGCCGACCTTCTGATCAGCAAGTGCTAGGCTCTGTGGTTTAACCCACAGAGAGTACTTAGGTGGGCCCAATTCTCCTTCCACAGCCAGAATTGACAGAGTGCTTTAACAATCAGTTCCCCTTCACAGAGAAATCTGGTAATTGTAGCTCTATGTGAGGATTAAGGGTCTCCTAACAACTCTCAGCAATCTTTACATGTGGAAGCTCCCAGAATTCCTTGGGGGACTCTTAAAATGGCATCACAATTCTTTAAATGTATGGTGTGAATGAGGCCAGAGTCTACTTTGATTATTGCTATCATTGGATATATTATTGCTATCACCACTACTATTATTATTAGTTGATGTCCAAAGTTTGGGTGACCAGGTTGCTCAATTTGATCATCCTCTTTTGCATCTTCGTTAACTGTTTTATGGCCTTCTGATGACACTGGAATTGGCTTCTTGCTTTGGCCATTGTCTAGCTGCCATCTTGCTTCCTGCAGGTGTGCCACTCAAGGAGGGGAGCCATGCCTTGACTTTTTCATTCCTGGTTTCTCCCCACCCACTCACCCAACCTAGATACTTGAGCTCTCTAAGTAATCCCCTCCCTCGCCAGAGCTTTCTGAAATGGTAAATGTTTGCTGGGGGGGGGGGGGAATATGTGTTTTTCTTGTGAAATGTTTCACCCTGGTGCAGCTTATTTCCACTGAGCATGGGGAAATGTTGCACTGGTGTGGGAAATAAGGATTTCAACTGTGACATTCCACAGGTCCCCTTCAGGCATTTCACCAGTGATGTAAGGGGAGGAAGGTTGTTGGTCTTTCACAGCACAAGGTGTATCTATAGAAAGTGGGGGGCAGCTTTGGTAAAGTTGTAAAGCTTTTGTAAGCTTTTGTAAAGCTTTTGTAAAGCTTAAAACAGCTTTTAGGCTCTGTATACAGATATGGAACATATCTGAAAGCATGCATACACACACTTTGTAAAAATTAAATCTATGCATTAGCCCAGCAGAATTCCAGACCTATATCACAGTATCCAGTATCTGGTAGGCTGTATGTTAGCCACCCCTAATTTATCCCTATCCTCTGCTTATCTTTAGCTGCATTCACGTGGCAGTTTATTGTGCTTCCCTGATGTTTCCCTAACTATTAATTTCCACATTACACTTGTGCTTTCACACAATGCAAAAGTCTGTTCTCGAAATCCAGCAGAATCTAGTGGAAATTCAGCATCCATTTCTGTGTTAATTGTTTTCTGGGGGAAGGGGGGATGATTTGCAGGTACCTTAATCCAGAAAATAATGGGAGCTGTAAAGTGTTGAAATTTGGGGTTCAGTACCAGCATATAATTCTTTCCTGCCATTTTTGTGGGTGAATCATGGTGGAACAGAAGCACAGATGTGCAGGAAGGCTGAGGGAGTAGTGATATAGGTTGACATGATGGCATATCAGTAAAAAGCCACAATTCCAAATGCTCTCCAAAAAGGATCTCCACCTAGAGCACATTGGCAGTTCTCTCATTTGGTGCCAAGGCTTGTGAAATAGTTTCAGGTGCAACTGGGTGTGAGCACAGATCCCATCCAAAATGCAATCACCTGCCCTGATAACCCATCTGTTAGTTTTCTTATTTGTTCTTTTCTATTGTATCATAAATGTACATTGTGTTTTATATCTGGAATACAGAGATATCCCTGTACCAAAGAGCCAACAGTTTAAGCTGCATAGATCACATACATTTAAAGCACCCCTCCCAAGCATCCATGGAACTGTAGTTTGTTAAGGGTGCTGGGAATTGTGAGGGGTAAACTACACTTCCCATGATTCTTTTTTGGGGGGAGAGCTATGCTTCAAACGTGCTTTAAATCTATGGTGTGTACACAGCCACTGTTGCCATTGATTGTTAGTGGCCAAGCTGTGCTGAAATGAACAGAAAGGCTTTGAATAGCAAGGCAGACACAGGCTAAAACATTATGTTGCATTTTAATGATGTTACATTCTTTAAGCCTCCACAATATGTTGGGCTTTATAAGCTCAAGTACAGATGAAACACACAGATACACTGTAGAAAATCGAAGGAATAGTCTTGGTTGCCATGCGGCAGTATTCAGATCGCTGTGGCCTCTAGATTCCTTTCGCCTCTGATGTGGTGTTTGCTTTTCCCAGAGATGCATCATTATTCTTGTCCCAAACTCTTGAGCAGAGAGTACTGAAAACCCTTGGGATCTACCCATAAGAAACTGGACGCCGTGTAGAAGAGGCTATTCTTTAACGACCCTTGTCTCTTTGCACTAATTCCGGGCTGGACCATCTAGGTGAGTTGGCAGAATGGGCTGGTAGACTGAACAGCTCTGTGAGCTGATGTCTGTGGGATCAGCTGCTTTCTCACAGCCTTTTTACAGCCAGGGTTCAAAGACAAATGTGCCTGGAGAGAAGAAAAGGCCCCACAAGGCAAGCTTGTCAAAAGGAGATTGGTTTCCATTTCTCCCAGGCTCCCCTTCCGGCTAAGGGCTGCCCCCACCTTCTCAGCCACTGGTCTGAAACAAAAGATAGGCAATGTTTGGTGGGGCTGGAGGGGAACAGACACAGTATTTCCATTTGTATGCGATCTTCCACCCTCCCTTTCTAGGGTATGCCTTAAAATGAGTGTCAATAGACAAAAGAGAGAGGAAAACCCCCCAGCAATAATTCACACAGTGCATAGTTAAACTCCGGAATGCACTCCCAAAGGTTGCAGCGATGGCCACCAGCTTGGATGGCTTTCAAAGAAATTTGGATGAGTGCATCAAGGATAAGTCTACCAATGGCTACCAGCCACAAGTGGCTATGCTTTGCTTTCGCTGCCACACACTCCTCTCAGCACTGTTTCTCACCCTTTGCCCAGCAGGTTCCACCACAGGCATTTTTAAATGTAAGTTGCTTCTTGGAGACCTTCTTAGGTAACCAGTCCAGTTCTGCATGGGTAACATCTTGTATTGTTCCTCTGGCAGAACATGAAGCTTCTGGCTTTGAGGTTCATGCCACTTAATACATACAAGCTGCAAACAAGGGACTGGATGTCTGAGATGCATCTGCGTAGCCAGCCATTGTCCTCCTAGTCTATTGTCCAAGTCTATCACCTTTATACCTGAGGACCAGAAAGAAGATTTCATGACATTGTCCAAAAGCCCAGGCTGTAATCCAGAAAGCTTTCGCTGTCAGAGGCAGTGTGCTTCGGAATGCCAGTTGCTGGGAATCTCAAGTGGGAAGAGTAGAGTTGTTGAACTCAGGTTCTGCTTGTGAGTTGCCCATTTTGGTATCTGGTTGCTCACTGTGAGAACAGGAAGCCGAACTAGATGGGTCTCTGATCTGAACAAGCAGCCAGGTTGTTCTTATGCTATTAGTAATGATGTCTGAAAGTTCTGCAACACATTAGAGATACATCAGTATTATTATCTTTTAATGCAGATGGAGGAAGCGAGTGAGTGAGAGAGATAAGCTTAAGAGTTCAGACACCATTTTGTATTGATTAAACACACACAGTGTTTTTGGGTGCTGAGACCCAGTACTTGCTCATCGGCGCATGTTCATCACAACTTCTGAACACAAATGGGACATGTGTAGGTGCTGGTCATAGTTGGACCACAACAATTTGCCAAAGGATGGTGTCCTCATTCTGTGGACGTAAGCTGACTGGACAGGCAGTTCAATCTAATGTCAACACTGGTGATGGACAGTATCATCCTGCAGTTAGCAGACCAGCTGTTGCTGGTTGTGTGAATAGTAACTCTGCAAAAAGCACATAAAGAGAGTGCCTGCACTCAAATGTGTTGCCTGAACAGTGATAGGGAGCAGTTTGCCAAAGGCCACCTAGGATTTCCTGATTTCCAGCTCAGGAAATGAGTTGAGACTGTCCTTGAGCTTGGCCCGGAAGCTGCAGCTGGTGCAAAATGCAGTGGCCTGCCTGCTCCCTGAAGCAGATGATCGACATCATGTTACGCTGCCGTTGAAAGAATCTCACTGGTGGAAGGAAGAAACACTTCTGACTAAGGAAGATTGGCAGTTAAAATTAATGGAATATGCAGAAACTGACCGGAAGAATAAGAATCAAGCAGAGAGACTTTTAAAAACAGAATGGGGAAAATTTGTTGATTATTTGAGGACACATTGCAAACAAATTAAAACGTTAGCAGGATTGATATAAACACATGCAGTAACAGATAATTAAGGGGAGGATAAGGGAAAATACAGAAGCATTTTTGAATTGGATATACAGTAACAAAAAGATACGAAATAAATAACTGCAGAAGGGAGGGGAGAGAAGTCAAAGGGAAGGTCATTAGATTTGTAAAGACTTTGTTTTTGTTTGTAAAAGTTGAAAATGAAAAAGAATTTTTTAAAAAAAAGAAAAAGAAAGAATCTCACTGGTTGCCAGTTAGCTACTAAGCTAAATTCAAGATGTTGGTGCTAGTGTACATAGTCCTGTACTGGTCCATTTGGGATGCAGATACATAGCCTTATATATGATGGCTATGATGTGCCTCCACAGGTAGAGGCAGTAATGGTTCTGGATGCCAATTGCTGGAAGCCACAGGAGGGGAGAGGGCTCTTCTGCTCGGGTCTTGCTTGCAGGTTTCCCAATACAGTCGTACCTTGGATCCCGAACGCCTTGCGAGTTGAAAGTTTTGGCTCCCAAACACCAGAAACTCAGAAGTGAGTATTCTGGTTTGCAACGTTCTTTGGAACCCAAATGTCCGACATTGCTTCCATGGCTTCTGATTGGTTTCAGGAGCTTCTTGCAGCCAATCAGAAGCTGTTCCTTGGTTTCAGAACATTTTGGAAGTCAAACGGACTTCCGGAACAGATTCTGTTCGGCTTCAGAGGTACAACTGTATAGGCATCTGGTTGGCCACTGAGAGAAGAGGATGTTGGACTTAGATGAGTCACTAGTCTGATCCAGCAGGATCTTCTTATGTTCTTACCTAACTGATTATTGTGTTCTGCTGAAGAGGGCCTCCTATAGATGCCATCTCATCAGGAGGTCCACGCTGTGGAAATCAGGCCTTTAATCTGACAACAGACTAGATGACACTTGGGGTCCCTTCCAACTCTATGATTCCATGGAACTTCACATTGCTTATCAGACACATCAGGCTGCTGACTGGTTTTAATTTAGTTGCTTTTATTTGTTTTATTAATGTTTTACCCACTTTAAGTTTTTTTAAAAAATGATTATTGCACCTTTATTGAATTTCAGTGTCTTTTGATTGCATGAGCATTATCGTTGCTACCCACCTTGGGCACCGTATGGTGGAGAAGCGGACTTCAGAGCCAACAAATAAATATATTCTCTTCAACACTGAGCGTGCATTACTTCCATATGCAAGCACCCACAATCTCGCGCATCCAGCCTATCCGAATCAGCGCCATTGTGTTATTAATAGGCTGGGTGTCTCAATTAATTAAGTGCTTAATGTGTGATGTGGAAGCCTGGGCAGGAATGCTGCGCTTCAATTTGAAAAGGAGCACATGGCACCAGAGCTAATTATTTGTCAGGATAATTATTTTATTCCCCTCCCCCCTTTCTGCCATGCAAATTACCAGGAGCAAATTCGCCGTGGTGCATTTGTGGGTATTTAATTATCGCGACGGCACTGAGAGTTGAGGGACTTGATCTAATACGTTCTTAATGAAATCTCCTTAATTTTGTTGGCGGCTGTAAAAAGCCATTATTTTGTAACAGCTGGATTCAGTTGAAGCAGATAACTATAGGAAATGTCAGTCTCGGGGCCTTGTTGTGTTAGAAGCTGTACAAAATGAGAGCATCCTCCCGCCCCTCCAGAAATGCCGGTGCAAAGGGTATTTTGGCAAGTTTCACATGCATTTACATAATTTGCTCCAATTTCCGAGGAATTACAGTGTCTGGGAAGAGTGCTGTTGTGCCCTGTCTGTTTGCAATTCCCATAGGCATCTGGTTTGCCACTGTGAGAACAAGATTCTAGTTTGGATGGATCTCTGGCTGCTACGTTCTTAGGAAATGATATTTCTGTTTGACACATAGCATTTAGACTTTCCAGGTGATGAGGTATGACCCGAATTTGTTGAGCTGTGTGGTTTTGCAAGGAGATGAACCTGAGCCTTCGTACAGTGATGCAAAGATGGACCAGGATTTGCCCAAGCATAGACTCAAAAGGAGCCGCAGACAATCATATACCCCACCACTGTTTTTCACATTCAAGTCCTATTTTCTCTTGCAATTCTAATAGCAAGGCAAGCTGGCATTATATTGGAGATGGGTGACTTGCACACCCAAACTCTAGCACCCAGAACTTATAACAATACCTAAAGCTGCAAGACAACACATTTAGTAGGTTGTGAGCCCTGTTGAACAGAGATTTCTGAGTAAACAGTCATAGAATACAATGCAAGGGTTCATTTTCTTTTGTCATTGTCACCGGTTCTGTCTTCATCTCAGTGCAGACCAAAAAATAGTAATTCACCATTTCTGTAGTTGCCTCTCCATCCATCTCTCCAGGAACTCTCCCTGCCACCACTGCCGGTCAGTTTCCCCAGATGCTGCAAGAGAACCTCTTGGGAGAGTCAGCAGAATGTGAAGTCTCAGAAAGTTGTTGTCATTGCTTGATATCTGGCGGCCATTTTACTCTGAAAGGGGAACTGTCCTGACCTGCTCAATGGAAAACTATTTGGATCCTTTGCTTCCGAGACGCTGAGCATTTGTATGAATGGAGTATGTTTTCTCTGCCGGCCCAAGGAGTCAGCATTGCGAGTTCCTTTGTGCCGCCTGTAAAACTCGAAAACAAATGTAGACAAGCAGCCACAAAGACTCCAAGATGACTTCTTATGTATTCAATCAACTGACAGTGACTGATCTCATGGTCATGGTGGGCAGCTCAGCGAAGACTATCTGCTCAATGAAGTGTGCCTATTTCACTTTCTCTTCATTTCTCATTATTCCTCAGAATCCATGTGTGGCAACTTGTTTAATTTATTTAAAGCATTTCTTTTTTTACCCTGCTCTACAGCTGGAAAGAAAAAGTTTCCCAGAGGGATTTTCAAATAACAGCAATAAGATAACCCCTCTCCCTGAAACTGAGAACCCATTGGAGGCTACTCAACCAACCTCAGCCTGCCCTCAGTCAGCCTCTTATCTACCTAACTACCTACCTGCCTTGTTACTTACAAGTAGACTAGTGAGTGGCAGTACTGCTTGTGGGCTTCCTCCTCCTTAGTCTCAGTGTTGCCTTTGTGGAACTCATCAGGGAGGAGGACAAAACAAGAATTAGCTGTCTCTGCCTGTCATTGGCTCTG